AAGTAGAAGACAAAGAAGTTACGTGGATTGGGAGGCTTGTTTTAGCGTTTTCATTCACTAATAGATCAATGTTAGGAAGTTGATTAACGAAAGATAATGCCAAAATTCATGAGTAAGTTGCTCACGTGAAATTTTATGGCAAGGCTCACATTTTTAACTTCTGATTCTTCTCAAATTACATTAGAAGAACGAGTGCACGCGAGAGATCAACTGAGCATTGGCAAGAAGTCAATTGAAATGAAGTAATAATTGCATACTTCAAGTCTCGTCTTAAATTTCGACAAATATATATCCCAACAAATCTTGAAGTAAGGGACATTTGTAGACAATTAAAATTTTATTGAATTTAAATCCATAATAAAATTTGGATTTAATCTCAATTAAATGTATTTTAGGCCAAATAAATATTATGGGCTAATATAATTGGATTAGTTATGTAAATCCAATAAGTATGGGTTAAATAAAGAAGTCCAAATCTATTGGGCTAGCCCATTTGATTGGGCTACAAGTAATGAGCCTGCTTCATTAAGCCCAAGATGTCATCTTCCTAGAGGCCCAGTTTGGTGCCACGTGTCAAGTGACGTGGCGCGCCAAGTCAAACGGAAGAGCCAATAGGATCATGCCACATGTCAAAATGACAAGGCATGCCAAGTCACACTAAAAGGCCAATGAAATCGCGCCAAGTGTGCAAATGACATGTTCTGGCCAATCAAATGCGGCCTTATCACACTTCAATTTGATTGGTCGGAAAGAGTTTGTTCTTATCATAACTCTTCCCTCCCACAACTATAAATAGGNGTGAAATTTTATGGCAAGGCTCACATTTTTAACTTCTGATTCTTCTCAAATTACATTAGAATAACGAGTGCACGCGAGAGATCAACTGAGCATTGGCAAGAAGTCAATTGAAATGAAGTAATAATTGCATACTTCAAGTCTCGTCTTAAGTTTCGACAAATATATATCCCGACTAGTCTTGAAGTAGGGGACATTTGTAGACAATTAAAATTTTATTGAATTTAAATCCATAATAAAATTTGGATTTAATCTCAATTAAATGTATTTTAGGCCAAATAAATATTATGGGCTAATATAATTGGATTAGTTATGTAATTCCAATAAGTATGGGTTAAATAAAGAAGTCCAAATCTATTGGGCTAGCCCATTTGATTGGGCTACAAGTAATGAGCCTGCTTCATTAAGCCCAAGATGTCATCTTCCTAGAGGCCCAGTTTGGTGCCACGTGTCAAGTGACGTGGCGCGCCAAGTCAAACGGAAGAGCCAATAGGATCATG